GGCTACTCAAACTTCGAACATCCTTTGCTATTCACATCCGAGGAACTCGGGCGGAATTCGCACCCGAAAATATTGTATTCGCTGCAGGAATAAATGAATTAAAATCATCTTTTCGTGTTCTATTATCTCACTGTATTAGTATATGCCAAGACAATTATACAACTCTATGTTGAGGTTAGCGGTGGATATTTACCTCGCCGCTTCACGGCTCGGTTATTTTCCACAACAAAGTCACCTCTGCTTTGGTGAATAGTTGATAATTATCACGTTCTAATTAAAAAATAAAATGTTTTAACCCTTTAACTCCCGTGAGTGACCGAGACTGAATTTCTCCCTACTATATACATACAATATTATGCAGACAAGTGATGAGAATGAAGAAAAATATCGATTATGGGATTACTTATTGATCAGATACCAAATTCTCCAAAGTAACATAATGAGAATCGTTTGGTGGACAGTAGGGAGAATTACTTATGAGATCTTGGGATTTAAAGAGTTAATCTCGCTATCTTCATGTGCAACAGGTTTTAAAAATTTCCCCTTTGGTGGATGAGTGGGGCTCATCGAAAGGTGGACTATCTACTCTAAACAGGGAGATGTGCAAAGGGCTGGCTCAACTGCCTGATGTATCGGTGACCTTGGTTGTGCCAGAGTACACTGAAGAGGAAAAGAAAGACGCTTCAAAATGTAAAGTCAACCTTACCAAGGTCGAAAAAATACCTGGTTATGATACTATCCATTCATTAGATTCTCCACCCGACGAATGTAAAATCGACGTAGTAATGGGTCATGGACACAAGTTGGGACCGCCAGCACTAGCCGTAGCGAAGAAACGAGAATGCAAACGAGTGCATGTTGTGCACACTGCAAGTGAAGAGCTCGCAATGCACAAGAAAAGTCGGCAGGAGCTGATCCCGGAAGGCGAAAAGAAACACAAAATCGAGGTAGATCTGAGCAAGACTGCTGATGTTATTGTGGGTATAGGACCAAAACTTACTGAGTCCATCAAAAGTAGCCTTCGACCACACAAGAGAGAAAAAGACGTGATAAACTTTACGCCAGGCATTTTTCCAGAGTTCTCCGAACTAGAGCAAGCCCGTGAAGAAAGAGAGAAGTTTCGTACATTGGTATTTGGTCGTGGTAACGAGGAAGATTTTGAATTGAAAGGGTACGACATTGCCGCTCGCGCTATAGCAGGCTTAAACGACCCTTCTTATCATCTTGTGTTCGTTGGCGCACCAGAAGGAAAACAAGAGGAAGTAAAAGAGAGCTTACTTGAATGTGGAATCTCCCGTAAGCAGCTGACAGTGCGCAGTTATCGAGAAAGCCGTGAAAGTCTGGCAGACCTCTTCTGTGAAGCTGATCTGGCCATAATGCCATCACGAACAGAAGGGTTCGGCCTTGCAGCTCTCGAAGCCCTCTCTGCCGGCCTTCCAATCCTGGTGAGTGATAACAGTGGATTTGGACAAGCTCTAGAAAAGATTCCCTTTGGTATGTCTTTTGTGGTGGAATCCGACGTGGAATCTGACGAAGCCAAAGAATGGGGAAAAGCCATCAAGCGGGCCAGAAAGAAATCAAGGGAAGTACGTCTGAAGGAAGCTGGCGTTCTGCGAGATTTCTATAATCAGGAGTACAAATGGCAGGAGCAGTGCCAAACACTTGTGGATAAACTACGCTAGTGTAAATGATCTACTAGGTACTGAACTAAAAACACTTAACATTACGAAAGTTCCTAACATTTTGGAGCGTTTCTTCATATATCAAGGGAAACCAACTTTGTCATTAGTACTGCTTGAAACTTTTCTTTAAACAATTGTTAAAAGGCTTCTTCAATGGACCGTAGAAATAGATGAAAATCTACATCTTTTGCTGTTTTCGGTTTAAGTGTTATAACTTCAGAAACAATTTTGATTTTTAGTTTAGATCCATTTTGATATATTTCAGTCAAATCTGT